CCAGCCAGCAAAAAGAACTCCATGTTTTGAGAATAAACTGAAATCAGCTACCATGTATTCTTGACCAACAGCACATTCTGACATGACCCTGCCAGTTTCTTAGCATATTGTTTTCTTGGGCCATTCTGAGGATACTCTCTTGCTCCTGCAATTAAATTCAACAAACATTTATTGAGCTCTTTCCAGATGCCAGAACCTGTACTATCTGAGATGCTAAATTGAGTAAAAAACAATTCCTGTTCCATGGATTTCTTGCAAATAACTCCAAAGGCAAGGGAAAAAGGTATTTGAATACCAGATATTCAGAGCATAACTGAAATTTCCAGCTTTGACTTCTTGAGTCCGCTGGTAAAGCAGTTCAGTTTTGTCCCTTGAGCTAAGTCTTTCCACTTGTTATCTGGTCTTTGCCCTTCTCTCTCCTGCTGTTCCTCATGTACAGATGCCATGGATAAGATTCATCTCAACCTACAAGTATGGCATGTGTGGAATTAGTTGTGAAAAATGTCTCTGTAATCACTACACCAAGTGATTATGCTGAATCACTGCAAAATGATGTGAAATATTTTGAATGAGCCTGTTCATTCACTTTCTTCCACTCATCTTTGAAAGGTATAGGTAGCATCTAAGGCAAAAGAATATGTTTTTAAATGAACTAATTATCTATCTCCAAGGACAAATGTGCTCAGTGTTCCCAGTATCCCTTTCCTTTCCCCTATTCCCCTCCCAGAAGGGAGAAGCAGACTTTCAGAAAAAGGACATCTCATCACCAGCATGAATGAGTAACGTGGTATCTGCCCTTACATCCACTCATTCACAAAACCCCATGAGAATGGGCTGAGAGTAGAGGAAGAGGGATAGAGGAGGTGATCGAGCCAAACATAAATATAATCACATTGCCCATTACTTACTGATCATGTGCTGTGAGCCAACCACTTCCACAGAGCATTATTGCTAATCCTTATATCAATCCAGCAAAGTGGATATTTTTATTTCTAATAGTATCTATATGAGGCGACAATCCTCAGAGAGATAAAGAGATTAGCTCGTGATCATACAGCTGGTAGGTACCTCTTTCAAACCCTGCTCTGCCTGATTCTAAAACCTGCTCCTTTTCATTAGAACCAGGATTTTAAAACTCTATTTCCTGCAAGTAGCTTCTGGGGGTTCAATCAATTCCATTTATACATACAACTATTTGGGGAAAAATCAAAATGCACTCTACAGACCACTGACATATTATTACACATTTTGACTGAATTTTTAAAAATAAATGAGTGTTTTTGAACTTAACACCTAAGCTTATTCTGATTTGATACTGCTTGCATATTTTGGAATGATGACAAAGATGTCATTTGAAAAATGGTTTTTCTAGGTAGGAGATAAAAGAGTGACAATTACAGACCTACAAGTTACACTACTCCTTTACCAAGAAACATATTACATAATCTTTAGCAAACATAATGAGGACTATCCCAACATGTACAATACAGTGTACATAACAGCATCATCCTATATAATAAAACCTTACTATGCTAACGTCCAGTCGGCCATTCAACCAATCAAAGCATAACATGCTAATGATATGCTAAGGCTGCTCAACCGCTCACTATGACATGCACTGACTACCAGGGAGCAGTTGACTGGTCAACCAATCACTATGACGTGCACTGACCACCAGGGGGCAGATGCTCCGACTGGTAGGTTAGCTTGCTGCTGGGGCCCAGCTGATCAGGACTGAGTGAGACAGGCTGGACACGCCCTGGAACCCTCCTGTGGTACATCCCCAGCCCTGATCATCCACCGGTGAGGTCCCTCAGCCTGGCTTGCGCCCTCTTGCAATCCGTTTTGAGGGATGACCCCTTTCCCCCCCCCCCCGCCCCCCCCCCGAATTTTGTGCACCGGCCCTCTAGTGTGGTGAATAATACAACGTGGTTAGCAGGCTGCTAGCAGAGCATCTGTAAGGGGAAGCAGGGTATCTCTCTTCTTTTTTATAACCATTCTTGAAATATTGCATTGTATTTGCTGGAACCAACTGTTTGATAGTTGAGCAACTGCATTCCATTTTTTTCCTTATTGGAAATTTATTTTAAGAAATAGAGTCTGGCCCTGGCAGGGCGGCTCAGTTTGTTGGAGCTTCATCCCATATATCAAAAGGTTGTGGTTCAATTCCCAGTCCCAGCCAGGGCACATACCTAGGTTGTGGGATCAATCTCCTGTCAGGGCGCATATGGGAGCCAACTGATCGATATTTCTATCTCACACTGACATTTCTCTCTCTCTCTCTAAAAAAAAAATCAATAAAACATATCCTCAGGTGAGTTAAAAAAAAAGAAATGCAGTCTGTATTTCTATTGATTAGGTTTCATACTGACGAGGATCAGTTTCAAAACACATACAGAGTATGGCAAAAGCACGTTTACAGTTGTGAGTACATAAAACACAAAGTTTATTCTTATATTATTAATTATTTGTATTTTCCATATGAACAACTGTAAACCTACTTTTGCCCCACTCTGTATGTGCAAGTTGGCTTTACTCAACTTCACCGCCAAATTGTGCACTCCTGGCTTTGACCACTTGTTCTAGAAAAGTATCCTTGTTTTGAAGAGAAACCTATAAGGTGATCTCACATCTGTGCCTACTACAGAAATATATATCCCCCCCCACACACACAACACATACAACACACACACACAAAACATCTTAGACCCTATGAAATAGTAATGTCCTACCTGAAGAGCAGTACTTTCTTTTTAGATCAGCATACAAAATTTGTAAAGCTCAGATTTCAAAAAGGACATTTCACTTGAAAGAACTTAATTCTGCAGACTTCTGTTCAGAGGCACTATGATGACATGAACAGCTTTAGGTATTATTTGTATTTTATGAGAGTAGAGTTTATGAGTATTTTTAGGAAGAGACTGTAGAAAAAATGACTAAACCGAACTTTTTCTATTGTCTCAAACATTTAGGTGGATCTGAGGCTGCAGTGGGTGACCTCGAAGTGTCTCTTCTCTTCCAACTTTAAGATTACACAAGTCAAATTCAAATTCTTCCTTGTAAGGCTTTATGTAACAAGATCTCTGTTTGCTGCCTTTCTTTTCTGTTCTTACCTAACAGATTACTTCCTAGTAATTTGTCTCTGAAGTATGTCTAGTATGTCTCTGAAGATTTGACAGCTGTATTTTATCTTTGTTTTGCCACCAGTCACAGTGTCATTAGATGGGGAGACAACTTCATTTTATAGTTATGGAAGCAGAGACCACCTGAGGTGAAGTGGTTTGTCCAAATCATATGTGAACTGTGTAGGACTAATAGCTGAATACAGCAGCAGGCATCTTTCTGCAAATAAGAGGCAGTGCTCAGAAATCTAGAAGTTTTTCATCGTTGTCTTCCACTGGTAGGATTTTGAGTATCAGTGTATGTGTGTTTGTGAGTGTTTGAGTTCAGAGATTATATAGAATTCAACATTTTAAATACCTAGCACTGTGCTGGACATAACACAAGTACTTCATAAAGCCGCGTGGAATGAACAAAAGGATACCAGAAATGTAGTCTTGTCTGGCAGAAGACAGTGGCATTTTCATTATTAACCATTGTGGAATTGATTATTCTGTTTCTCATTTGGCCACCTCGTCTCCCTTCCAAAGCCTGAAATCACCTCCATTATTAACAAATACATCTATGATAAGCAATGATCTTTAACTCAAGCTGCATATGGGAAGAGGAAAGATTTTGAAAGTAGAACCTAATTTCAATCTTTGAGCATCTTTGGTAACTTGTTCATGCTTCTACTTGAGTCTAACAGCAAAAAACTACTACTGCTGCTCTCATGTATACTACTATTTATGAAGCGTTCACCTAGAGCCAGGGGATGTGCTGGGGGGTCTTACATGCATCACAGTATTTAATCTGCACAACACATCTGGAAGTCAGGTCTTATTACCTGCACTTTACCCTGGCTCAGAGACACTGAGTCTCCTGTCCAATGTCACACAGCCAGTCAGGCAGAGTTGGAAGAGGGATAATGACTGTTTTAAGTGCTCAATGGCCAGCCTTCCATCAACAGTAGCTATTATGATAATGCAGGAGTCCTTCGGGCCCCCAGTACAATGAGTGCACAGCATCTTAGTATGAGTAAGCTTATGAAATCAATTCCCTCCTTCCCTCATAAAAAAAGACAGGCAGCCTAAAAGTATCTCTGCCTCGAGGGAAGAGGAAACTTAAAGATGGGTTGGGGTGAAATGTTGGGAAGTTGTTTTAAGTGCTCAATGGCCAGCCTTCCATCAACAGTAGCTATTATGATAATGCAGGAGTCCTTCGGGCCCCCAGTACAATGAGTGCACAGCATCTTAGTATGAGTAAGCTTATGAAATCAATTCCCTCCTTCCCTCATAAAAAAGACAGGCAGCCTAAAAGCTATCTCTGCTCGAGGGAAGAGGAAACTTAAAGATGGGTTGGGGTGAAAATGTGGGAAGTGATCACATTGTTCCAAAATTAAAATTGTCCTTTTGAGAATGTACTCTTCAACATTCCGCTATGGGGGTGTGTGCCCATGGGGAACAGGAAACAGGCTAAGACACACTTTATGAATTACACAATTTACCCATGGTGTGTCTTGATGTGCTATATAGGCTTGACTATTACTAAGAACAGAATGAAACATTCTTTCTTGCTCTGCCCTTAAGAGAAATCTGTTGCCGTATGTTCAACCTTTGGGCCAGTGTGGCATCCCTCAATGTTTCAGCAGAGAGCTGCCAGAAGAGAATCATTACACCAGCAGTGTGATCTGCTGACACGAAGGACAGGAATACACTTACAGCCTAGACTTGGCTTCTTGCCTCTTGTTAAGGCACCCAACAGCTTCAAGGCTTACTGACAACGTCCCTGAGACACGCTCGCTTACTCCAGCACTATTCAAATCTCTCTCTATGTTATATTGCTTTGTTTCCTTCAAGCCTATTTTTTTAAGTCTCGCCTTTCATTTGTTTATCTCCCAGACAGTAAGGAACAAGAAAACGTACAGAGCAGAGGATGTTAACCAATCTTGAACCAAATCCCTGGTCTCTCAAAAAGGTGGAAGAGAGGCCCAGGCATTCTTAATTTCTTGAGGCTTCAAGTAGATTAAAAAGTAAGTATGCATAGCCCTAACTGGTTTGGCTCAGTGAATAGAGCATCACCCTGCAGAATGAAGGGTCTCAGATTCTATTCCAGTCAAAGGCACATGCCCAGGTTGCATGCAGGCTTGATCCCCAGTAGGGGGCATTCGGGAGGCAACTAATCAATGATTCTCTCTCATCATTGATGTTTCTATCTCTCCCTCTCCCTTCCTGTCTGAAATCAATAAAAAAAAATATTTTAAAGAAGTAAGTATGCCTAAAGGGGGCTAGCAAAATAATTGTTTATTTTTTTCACAATTTACTATAATAAATGAACATTTTAGCACAAGATAATATAAAGCAATACTGTGCAAAGAATAGGATATACAGTGTTTCTTAAAACATACCAGTTCAGGTTGTGTGGTCCAACCATGGGTCAGAAGGTTAAGGTTGTCTGGTGAATGTTTTCTTTTTTCAATCCTTAGAGTGTGTCTCTGAGTGTATGTGTAATCTAATTTCAAAGAGACGATTCATTGTAGAAGTTTGCAGATTGCTAGGGATGTGAGTGCCCGGCCCTGTGGCTCCCTGGTTCTTCTCTTTACAGCTCCTCCCCAGACATGGAATACAAACCTTTATGCTTTTGTGTTCATTTTCTAGATTTCATAAGATTCTCCAAGCAGTCCATTCTCTAAAAGGTTAAGAACTAGTCTCAAAGCACAGCCTAACCTATGAAACCCAGATCAATGATCAGAGCTCCTCATTTTGGAAATTCAGAATACTCTTTTTAATGTAAATTTTTTTAGCCTTGCAATTTAACTTAATGTGAAAAAGTCTTTCAAGTAACTTGCTGTTTTCTGTTTTTAAATGTGTAGCAATCTTGAGCTTATTATTGTTTTTAACTTGCCTCTTCTCTATTGCTATTCTAGTATATGGAAGGTTAAAAACAAGATATTGATCAGAATGATTGGTCTAAACCCCACCCTGTTACTCCGAGGCTGTGTATTCCTGTGGGAATGTTTTCTCTCTGATCCTCAATTTCTCTAAAATGAGATGGTGATTTTCATTTCTCAAGTTTCTTTTAGCTTTAAAAAGCTATGGTTTTTCTCACTCCTATTCTCCACTTCCTCTCAAAATGTCCCCAGGATATTTTAATATCCAGTCTCCAAAGCTGTTGTCATGGTATACTGGCCTTCTCTGTTAGAGATAAAATATTTGTTTACTTTTAACTACAACCAAACCCAATACTTAATAGGCATGGACTCACACTTATTTTTCCCTTGACCTGGTGGCAACTAAATGTTCATTTTGTCATTATGGTGAACAGTGTGTTTCCAATACTCAAGCCACTACAAAAACTTTAAAATAAAGAAAAAAAAATCTAACGTTTGGCTCCGTTAAATTGCCAGATACAGATCTGCACTGATAGCTTAGGGACAGTAGATGGCGATATAAGTTCATCAAATAATAAACATTTCCTTGATTGGTCCAGCATTAAGACCCAAATGATTGAGGCCAGAACAGATTAATACAGTAGTTAAGAAACAACATCAAATATACTCAGGTGTTGGAGTGTTAGCTAAGACTTAGAATGTGTTTAGTAACCTGATAGTTATGGAAAGAAAAGATTGTTAAGCTAGTAATTAATTTATGCTACTGCTAAGTCTATCTTCAAGCTAAATCTTGAGGAAAATTTGGCAATAAACACATGCGTCCCATAAATTGTATCTAAATTATACTCTCCATTTTTGGTTTTTTAATAGCAATTGTTTGGGATGGAGTATGGCTCACATATATTATTCATAGATGAAGTACTATATTCTTATTAAGAATGTGAGTCCTAAGACACTGGTGTTTTAAAGGGGAAATGGCAGACTTACTGTAAACTGTTGGCCGGGCCATTATTGACTGGCAGGATCAACTGGAAGCACTATGTTAGTGGATTATGTTGCCCTGGAAATGCCTTCCTGAAACTCTAATGATGCACTTAAGGGAGTCCTTTGGGACAGGAGTAAACTGTCTCTTAGTGGGCGTGTCTTCCATCAGGGACCTCCTGGGATGAGTGGGGCACACCCAAGGAGATGCTCAGCAAGGAAGCAGCCCCAGAGAAAGGTTGCAGGTTACAATTTCTCACAGGTAAGCTAAGATGATATTTACTGGTGTAAACTGTGGGCTTTCTGAGGGTGTCCGTGCTTCTGCTTCATGTATTTTTTTGAAAAGGGATTAATTCCAGAGAGACTGTAAATATTTATCTACCTATTTATTTATTGGTGGATTGGCAGAGGGATGGAACAAGAGGAGAAAAAAGAGGAGGGTGTTTAAGAGAACATGGTTTAATGTACCTTTGGTTTAAAAAACACAGCAAATACTTTATACCAGTAGTTAGAACCTTGGGGTCATTAGGTGTGCTTTTTTTTTTTTAAGCAAGCTTTAAGGGAAAATTTGCCCTTCAGCTGAAATTCAGTGCCTGTGCAAAAGGTTTGTTTGTAGATTTGTCAAGTGAAAATTTCACTTGCGTTTATCTCTCCACAGGTTTGGGGGGTTGTTTCTGGGGGATGGTGGTGGCAGTAGAGGTCAAAAGAGAAGAAAAGGCTAAGCGACGGCCCTGGAAACTCCAGACTTCCAGACTGGGCAGGGAGGGAAGTGGCCGCGCGGCGTCCCCGCCCCAAGCCCTGAGAGAGCGCCCCGGAGTCCCTTGCCCAAGGCAAGCGCACTGTGTCCCTGTGCCATCCCGGCGACCTGTCACCGAGGAGGACGTGACTCGCGCTGCCTCCGCTTTCTCCAAGCCATATTCCTTTAAGATGATGTAATAGTCATTTCCCTGGATGGTTTCTTGCCTGCACTGCTGAAACAACAGCAGCCCAACTGCACTGGGAACTGTGGAACCGCCCAGCTTCGCCACCCGCCTGAGAAGCAGGAGCCCAGACCCGCTGGCTTCTCTGCGCTTTGAAGGTGCCGGATCCCACCGGCTCCTGCCGGCTTCTCCAGCTCAGCTCGCACCTGCTTCCCACGGCTCCCAAGGGCTCCCAACGGCTCCCACCTAGCTAGGAGCATGGGAGCCTGTTCGCCCTTGCCGGCAGGTGGGGTGGCTACCTGGGACCCCAGCAGGGCACCTCCGTTTTTCTGCTGCTGGGCTTTCTGAAAAGCTTCTAAGTCCTGATACCTCTTGCAACTCTTCTGTTTTAAGGATTCTTGCTGAAGGTTTGATCCCCACCCCCCTCCCTGGAGACGCTTTGGTTGAATATTTTACTCTGCTTCTTCAAGCCAGTCACCTCTCATCACCCTTTAACTTTTTGTGACTTGTTTTAACTTGAGATTGGAAATGAATATATACATACATACAAATATACATTTATATAAATATATATAATTTTTTTCTAAGAGCACATCTTTCTGGCACTTTGCATTGATAGGCTCAGTGTGGCTGTGCATTCTGACTGCTTGGCTAATGGGTATTTATTCACAGGACCGAGTTTCCAGCACTCCCGAAGGTAAGTTCTGAGGCTTACTGATTTTACTGTCCAGATGGGGGGAAAAAATCCCATCTTAGAAGCTTAAAATTGCATATTACTTTTTAAATGCAGAAATGCAAATAGAAATGTTTTTAATACTAATTGCTGGAGACAGAGGTGTATGGATAAACATATAGGCACAGAATAACTTGAGAGAAGCTATTTCCTGGGAGAATGGCTAAAATCAGTAGTTCCAAGGCTGCTTATGTAAAATACTTCCTATCTCCCTTCCTCCCATTATCCCTCGCTCCCTCTACCTCCCTCCCCTCTCCGCTCCCCTCTCCATCAGCTCTCTCTCTCTTTCTGACTCATGCTGGGCTTGAGGAAATAATTTTCTTTCTTTTCCTTTAGACAGATCTCTGAGTAACTGGGGACTTAACCTGCCTGTCTACTGAACCTGGGGGAAGATCGAATGGAGATGAGTTGATTATATTCCATGAAGTCATAGCTCATCACCAGCCAGGGTTTCAACTACTTCACCTGTGGACTATTCTAAATTTTGCTTTCTTGGGGGAAAATACTGGGGTAAGAAGAGGTCGTTTTTAACAAGTTAGCATCATTCTTTCTCCCTCCCTTTCAAGTTGATGTAAAGGATAAGGCTGTGACTCCTTTTGATTGCACCTTCAAATTAAAATAGGAGGAGGAGAACAAGAAAGGGACAATGGCTCTGAGTGGAAACTGTAGTCGTTATTATCCTCGAGAACAAGGGGCCACAGTTCCAAACTCCTTCCCTGAAGTCATGGAGCTGAATGTTGGGGGTCAAGTTTATTTCACTCGCCATTCTACATTAATAAGCATCCCTCATTCCCTCCTGTGGAAAATGTTTTCCCCCAAAAGAGACACAGCTAACGATCTAGCTAAGGACTCCAAGGGAAGGTTTTTCATTGACAGAGATGGATTCTTGTTTCGTTACATTCTGGACTATCTCAGGGATAGGCAGGTGGTCCTGCCTGATCACTTTCCAGAGAGAGGAAGACTGAAAAGGGAAGCTGAGTACTTCCAGCTCCCAGACTTGGTCAAACTCCTGACCCCTGATGAAATCAAGCAAAGCCCGGAGGAATTCTGCCATAGTGACTTCGAAGATGCCTCCCAAGGAAGTGACACGAGAATCTGCCCTGCTTCCTCACTGCTTCCTGCTGACCGCAAGTGGGGTTTCATTACTGTGGGTTACAGAGGGTCCTGCACCATGGGCAGAGAGGGGCAGGCAGATGCCAAGTTTCGGAGAGTTCCCCGGATTTTGGTTTGTGGAAGGATTTCCTTGGCAAAGGAGGTCTTTGGAGAAACTTTGAATGAGAGCAGAGACCCTGACCGAGCCCCAGAAAGATACACCTCCAGATTTTATCTCAAATTCAAGCATCTGGAAAGGGCTTTTGACATGTTGTCAGAGTGTGGATTCCACATGGTGGCCTGTAACTCCTCAGTGACAGCATCTTTCCTCAACCAATATACAGATGACAAGATCTGGTCAAGCTACACTGAGTACGTCTTCTACCGTAAGTGCAAAGGGTTCTTTTTATTGTTCATGTGTATTGATTCCCTTTACAGATGTGTATGGTCTGCATGTTCTGTCAGTGTCTAAGGACTATTACTTTGGGATTTTTATTTTTTAACTTGAGGTATAGCTAGAGTATTAGAGTTTATAATTCAGCTCTCGTGTGTTACCTAAGGCAACTTTATCTGTTTTTCAGTGAAGTCACAGAATATTCAAAGGCCTCAAAATTACAAGATGCAAATGATATTGGTATTATGTGGAATGAAAACAGACATATATATCTGTTTGCCAGATGTTGAATTGTGAAGTTATGGTGATGATTAGAACTTGGCTGTTGGTCCACGGAGGTTGGTAGACTCGAAGTGGGTGAAGTGCTGCTGTCTATTCTTTTATCTGAACTTTGGGATCTATTAAGCTAGTTGCTGAAGACTTGCTTTCATCAGGGGCTTTGAAAACACAAATGGATGTTATACTGAATGATGTGGTTTTGGCTAGATGGCAGTATACACTGACGAAAGACTCCCTTTCTTACCCTCCCCCCAAGTCTAAATTTTTTTTTATAGGCTTTATAAGTCTGCTATTTGATTCTTCAGTAATTTGTACTGAGACTTGAATTTCATTGCAGATTTAAGCTGAACTTCATTTAAGATCCACCTAGAAAGAGTTAGGTCCTTGAGAATTGTCAATCACATGCAAACATCTAGGCAGCTGAGGTGATAGAATTACTGACGTAAAAGGAAACCAGAGGGAAAAAGGAAAGGGAACTATTATATTGAAGTTTTTGAACTCGGTTTCTTAGAGGTCAGTCCATTTGCCTAAATGACAACTTTCAATACAGATTGTTATGCGTTATGAAATAGCATTTTTTTAGATAAATTGTAAGCCATTGACCGCTGAAAGTCTAGTGCTTGATATTCAACTGGCCTGGGAGTTGGGAAGTGAATTCCATAAGAAATATGTTTCCAGTGTTAACATTCGATTTCCTCTCTTCTTATTTAAAGGCAAACCCATACATTTAGGGGGTTAAAATGTCCAAATATATTTGAATATAACAAATGAATTTCTTGGACTCAGTTTTGCCTACAGTTGTGTTTATTCCTTTGGAGGTGGTGCTGGAAGCCTTGCTGAATTGCTGGTCAGTGGGAAGTCGAATTGTTCTGTACTGGGTTTTTAGAAGTCAAGTCCTATGTGTGTGTAGAAAGGACAGCCTGTGGAGAAGTGTGAAATCAGTGATCAGGTCTGTAGCATACTAATGTGTAATAACAAGCATGATTTGGTCCAGTAACGCTATCTATGGCACTTACCTATAATCTATATATTCCTCTGTGCTGAAGCTCAGTTGCCAGATACCAGACATTGCTTTCTTCCTTCTGGTGAATTTCCCACTAGTGTAGAGATAAGACTCTAGCTTTCTAGCCTTCTGTAAAGGAATCTGATATTATCTGTGATTATGTAGAACAAATATCTTCTCACTTTATGGAAAAATGCACCTTAGAGTTCAAATCTAGGTTTGTGATATTTATCTTGTTCTCTGATTTCTAATATTCGCATCTTAAAAAAGTTCAGTCAAATAAAATCATAATAACTCTATCCCCCAAAAGACCACAATAGATTTCTAATCACTTGTACTTCTAAATGAGACCCAGAACCTGATTTGTATTTACCTACTATCTCAGTGACATTTCTGTGTCAAAGACTGATTAAAGACTCATGTGTCTAACATGGTGCCCTCTTTAGGATGCTTTGGACGGGCTCTGTGCTCCTGATCATGTAATTACTTCTTTCTTTGCTGGGCTGCTGAGAGTGCTTAAGGAACAGTTTGCTCTCCATCCCTCTGGTCAGGCTAGCACAAACACACAGCAACTTTATATTGCACAGCATGTATGTTGCATATGATATACTTCCCCTTTGTGCCTAATACCCAGAGCTCACTGTTAACTCTTCCTCTGTCTAAAGACCAACAAGACTGACAGCTGGCTTTCTAGGGTCCGTAACAGCTTCCATGAAGCTGGTTAGCCATAATTATTTAATTAGAAGCTGCCAACTGTGCCTATATAAGCATTAATTCATCAAACTGTTGTGCTCTGGTTAATAGACTGAAACCGTGGGAGGTGCTCTAAAGCTGACTGTATGCAATCTTTGTCCAGCAACAGCTAGCCCCACTGAGCCCCACAGAGAGGGACAGAGCCCCAGGCTACAGCACAGGTGTAGAGCTGAGAGAACAGAGAAAAGAAGCTGCAACCTGGCAGATTCCAAAGGGCAGCACTAATCGCAGGGAGTGCCCCTGCATCCTCAAAAAACCAGCCAACACACACACACACACACACACACACGCTCTTTATAGAGAAATTCAACTACTTCTTAGGTTAAATATTATATATAATAAATATATAAGTTTATATATATATAAAATTAACTCCAAGCAGTCAGACTCTTCTAATAACCCAGGGATAATGCAGAATCACTTTGCCTGGATCCATATCATAGTAAAAAATAAACAATAAGAAATTAATACATTGTATATAGTAGTTGGCAGTCATGGGAATGACTCCTTCTTCCCCTGTTTACCTGACTTTTCCCCTCAAGTTTTCCACGGGAAAAGTGGGAGACCAAAATTCCTTGTATTATTAAAAAGGCTAGATTCTTGCCTTATTTAATCTTCATGTAAATCTAGAATTGATGGTCAGCATCAGGTAGTTTTGACTATTTAGTTAATGTAGAATTATGAACAATTAAAGTCAACAGGTGTTGCCCTGGCCATTGTGGTTCAGTTGGTTGAATGTTGTCCCATGCACCAAAAGGTTGCTGATTTTTGATCACTGGTCAGGGCACATAACCAGGTTGCAGGTTCCACCTCCAGTCTCCCCAATTGGAACACATGCGATTCTTGGTCAGGGTACATGCATGGGTTGCTGGCTCCATCCCTAGTGGGGGGCATGCAGGAGACAGCTGATCAATGATTCTCTCTCATCATTGATGTTTCTCTCTCTCTCTCCCTCTCCCTTCCTCTCTAAAGTCAATAAAAATATATTTTAAAAAGTTAACAGGTGTCTGTACTATGCGTTTAAGAGGATGAAAAGAAATGTGTTTGTCTGCATTGCTTACACACCAAAATGATATGTGAGATGCTATGGATTATGATTCATGTATCAGCAACCTAGAAAATGTGATATAGGAACATAGAAATGCTTATCCTAGGACTGCCTTACAAAGTATTTTAGATAACTGCTTTGTTTTAATTTAAAACAATGAGAAAGTTCCATTTCTTCCTTACCCATCCAACTAGCTAAATCATTATGTCTCTTCTCTTCCGGTGTTGTATAGAAGGCAATATCATAAACATCAGAGAATGCCTTCTTGATTCACCTCTGAACGAAATGGGAGCTAAGTAATTTAGAAAAGAGAAGTCCTGATTTTGAACCAGATCCTCAATAACCATTCACACCACTTAGGCACAAAAATCACAGGTGCATGGAAATAAATGAACCTCTTATTTAGAGTCATCTTCCAATCCCAGAGAGAGTGGGAAGATTGTTCCTGTTTGGAGAGAATTATGCACACTTCCTTAATCCTATTCATGAGTCAGTTACTTCAGACAAATGCCCCAAAGCACTCAGATTGAAAGGCATTTGCCTCTCATAAAGCCATGATAACATGACCACAAGTAGGGAGTTTAATTCATAGGATGATTACTCTGAGTTCTGTGAATTACAGATAGAGGCACTGATTCTTCACCTTTTTTTAAACAAATTGCTTCTTGTAGGTACATTTTAACCTTTCTTCTCTTTATTTTATTTCCTTAAATTTAAAAGGTTGTTGTCACAAAAGTCTCTAAATTGCTTTACCTACACAGTAAATATGTTCAGGGCTATTGACTTAGATGGGGTGTTGGAGAAAAGTAGATCAGTTGTAATGATTTCTCTCTTAGAATTTAGCAGCATGGCCTTGTTTTGGGAAAGAATATATGGTTCTGGGTACTGTAAATTACCCAACACTTCCCTAGTGGTTAGACCATCGGCCTGAGGACTGAAGGATGGAGGGTTTGATTCCAGTCAAGGGCACGTGCTTCAGTTGCTGGCTTGATCCCTGGTCCCAATCCGGGCATATCTGGGGGGCAAACAATTGATGTGTCTCTCTCACATGGATGTTTCTCTCTTTCTGTCTCTACCCCTCCCTTCCACTCTCTCTAAAAATCAGTGGAAAAAGTATCCTCTGGTGAGGATTAACAACAAAAAGCTTCAATAAGTGAAATCATATAGTACTTGTCTTTTTTGTTTAGCTTATTTCACATAGCATAATACCCTCTAGGTCCATCCATGTTGTCACAAATGGTAAGATTTCATTGTTGTTGTTTTTTTATGTCCAAGTAATATTCCATTGTATATATATCCCACATCTTTTTTATCCACTCATCTATTAATGGGCACTTAAGCTGCCTCCATATCTTGGCTATCCTATATAATAAAAGGGTAATATTCAAATTGACCCTAACAGCAGAACCACTGGGAATGACTGGTCATTATGACACACACTGACCACCAGGGGGCAGACGCTCAATGCAGGAGCTGCCCCCTGGT